ATGTGACAGAAGGTTTTTTTTTTTCTTACGGTTTTTATGTAAGCCAGGGTCAAAACTGAAGATTCTGGAAGTATCCGCAGCAGTATTAGCTCAGTTGGTAGTGCACTTGACTGCAGGGCGGGAGGTTGCGGATTCGTATCCCGGGACCGGACCAATAATCAGGGTCTTGAAGGAACTGAGAAATGAATGTTCTGTGTTTGCCCTGCTGACAAGTAGATCTTCGCGTGGCTCGGTTGAACATGTAAAAATTCGTGGTCACTGTCCCCAATTAGTACTTTCGTGCTAAATACATTGATACTAAAATGAAGTGTATTTTTTATATCAAAATATTTATTTACAACCACTCTATATGTTTATTGGAAGGCATTAAAAAAAACCATCTATTTCTGGTGCACACCCGGACTGATTAAATAAATCTGTCCATTCCCATCTGTTGGCTATGGCAGATGGAAGTTTCTCTTTTGTAAGAACTGGGGCGCTTTCCATTCCGGCAAAATTTCCGGTTGGAAATTCCGGAAATATTCCAGGTCAAATGGAAAGGCTTCCCCCCCCCTGAGAGCCTCGTTTACAATATCACTGCTCTCGTGAAGTAAAAATCCAACAAAATGGATGTCTGTAGCCAGGGGCGGATCTAGGGGGAGGGTGCAGGGGGTGCGCACCCCCCCTTCCCGAGATGACCTGCGGTTTTCTAATACAACTGGTATTCCGCAAAAAAAAAACTATGTGGTTTATTGGTGTTGAAGTAAAGCAAGAGACGAGTGCACCCCCTCCTAAAAAAAATCCTGGATCCGCCCCTGGTAGCATTGCGGTACTTTTGGACAATTTCGACGAATTTCTTGCTTTTGTTTTTGCCAGCAAGAGACAAGTTAAAATCCTTCCAGCGTTCTAACATCGGACGTGCAGATTTCATTTTGAACGAAAAGATAAGTGAAAAGAGAAAAATGCGATTTCCCGTGAACAACGCTTACTGATTGGAAATGGCGGGAAAAAATTACAGGTGCCGGCCGCTGGCTGAAACTGAATTGCGCAAATTTCGGGAATTTTTGTTCCAACCCGTTAGAACGGAAAAGTTGGAATACCTAGCTCCGCCCGAAGTTCGTCCGTTTGTTCTGTACGCCTTACTAAGCTATAAAAACAAGAAGTTCAAAAAGTTGAAAAATTGACATTTTTCCAAAGGGGTTAGTCCATGGTTTTGGTTCGGAAATGGCCATTTTTCCAACTTTTTTTTTAGGCAATATAGGTCATTAAAATGTCTTTTATGATATTCTAGAACGAAAAAACGCCTTTCTAAGCTATAAAAACATGAAGTTCAAAAAGTCGAAAAATTGACATTTTTCCAAAGGGGTTAACCCATGGTTTTGGTCCAAAAATGTCCATTTTGGAAACGTTTTTTTTTTAGGCAATATAGGCAAGGAAAATGTCTTTTATGATATTCTAGACCAAAAAAACGCTTTTCTAGGCTATAAAAACAAGAAGGTTAAAAAGTCGAAAAAGTGACATTTTTACAAAGAGGTTAACCCATGGTTTTGGTCCAAAAACGGCCTTTTATTATATTCTGGAACGAAAAAACGCCTTTGTAGGCTATAAAAATAAGAAGTTGAAAAATTCAAAAAATTGACATTTTTCCAACAGGGTTAACCCATGGTCTTGGTAAAAAATGGCCATTTTTCCAACTTTTCTTTTTAGGCAATACATTCCAGGAAAATGTCTTTTATGATGTTGTAGGAAGAAAAAACGCTTTTCTAGGCTATGAAAACAAGAAGTTCAAAAAGTCAAAAAATTGACATTTTTCCAAATGGGTTAACCCATGGTTTTGGTCCAAAAATGGCCATTTTTCCACAGTGTTTTTTTGTGGCAATATAGTCGAGGAAAATGTCTTTTATGATATTCTAGAACGAAAAAGGGCCATTTTAGGCTATAAAAACAAGAAGTTCAAAAAGTCGAAAAATTGGCATTTTTGCAAAGGGGTTATCCCATGGTTTTGGTCCAAAAATGGCCATTTTTCCAACTTTTTTTTAGGCAATATAGGCGAGGAAAATGTCTTTTATGATATTCTAGAACGAAAAAACGCCTTTCTGGGCTATAAAAACAAGAAGTTAAAAAAGTGGAAAAGTGACATTTTTGCAAAGGGGTTAACCCATGGTTTTGGTCCAAAAATGGCCATATTTCCAACTTTGTTTTTTAGGCAATATAGGCCAGGAAAATGTCATATATGATATTCTAGAACGTAGAAAGACCTTTCTAGGCTATATAAAGAAGAAGTTTAAAAAGTCGAAAAATTGAGATTGTTAGAAATGGGTTAACCCATGGTTTTGGTCCAAAAAATGGCCAATTTTCCATCTGTTGTTTTCTTTAGGCAATATAGGCCAGGAAAATGTGTTTGACGATATTCTAGAAACAATAAAACGGCATGCTAGGCTATTAAAAGAATAAGTTAAAAAGTTAAAAAAATTAAGATTTTTTTTAAGGAGTTTGTCGACGATTCTGGGCAAAAATTGGTCATTTTGTCATCTTCTTATTTTAAGCCATAGAGGCCAAGGAAATGTGTTTTACGATATTCTGAAAAGGAAACACGCCTTTCTAGGGGCCATAAAAACAAGAAGTTAAAAGTGGTTAAACATTGAGATTTTTTCGAATTTCTTAGTCTATTTGATTGGTTAAAAGTTGATCTTTTGTCTTTTTTGTAGGCTATATAGGCCAGCAAAATGTGTTTTCTGATACTCTACAAAGTAAAAAACGCCCCGCTAGGCTATAAAAACAAGAAGCCTGAAGAAGTCGAAAAATTAACTTTTTTTTAAAGGGATTAGTGGATGGTTTTGGTCGAAATTTGGCCATATTTTCATAGTTTTCGTTTAGGCAATAAAGGCCAGGAAAATATGTTTTACAATATTCTAGAAAGAAAAAACGCCTTTCTAGGCTATAAAAACTAGAAGTTGAGAAAGTCAAAAAATGAAGATTTTTCTGAAGGGGTTAGTCCATGGTTTTTGTTAAAAATCGGCCATTTCTCTTTCGTTTTATTATTTTAGGTAAAATAGTCCGGAGAAATGTGTTTTACGATATTCTAAAAAGAAAAGACGTCCTTCTAGGCTATAAAAACAAGAAGTTCAAAAAGTCAAAAAATTGACGTTTTTCCAAAGGGTCCATGGTTTTTGTCAAAAATTGGCCATTTTTTCATCGTTTTATTTTAGGTAATATAGTCCGGAGAAATGTGTTTTACGATATTCTAGAAAGAAAAAACGCTTTTCTAGGCTCTAAAAGCAAGAAGTTGAAAGAGTCGCAAAATTGACGTTTTTTCAAAGGGTCCATGGTTTTGATCAAAAATTGGCCATTTTATCGTCTTTTTATTTTAGGCAATATACGCGCGCTAATAAAGTCGAGGCGAGGTAAGAAAAGGTGCGTTAAACGTAAAACTTGAGTGAGGTTTAACTCTTAAGTTGATATGCGATTTTATATTCTTTCCATACATACGTAAAAATGTTGTGAAAGTGGGAAACCACCCTTTTTTTGACGCTTGCATTTGCGCTTGCATTTTTAGTTGCGTTTAGACCACTGAAGAAGAGCGGTGATCTTTAAATAGTCTGGTTTTCCTCTCTTTTTAAGATTAATAGACATCTATTTAACAACATGTGACAGAAGGTTTTTTTTTTCTTACGGTTTTTATGTAAGCCAGGGTCAAAACTGAAGATTCTGGAAGTATCCGCAGCAGTATTAGCTCAGTTGGTAGTGCACTTGACTGCAGGGCGGGAGGTTGCGGATTCGTATCCCGGGACCGGACCAATAATCAGGGTCTTGAAGGAACTGAGAAATGAATGTTCTGTGTTTGCCCTGCTGACAAGTAGATCTTCGCGTGGCTCGGTTGAACATGTAAAAATTCGTGGTCACTGTCCCCAATTAGTACTTTCGTGCTAAATACATTGATACTAAAATGAAGTGTATTTTTTATATCAAAATATTTATTTACAACCACTCTATATGTTTATTGGAAGGCATTAAAAAAAACCATCTATTTCTGGTGCACACCCGGACTGATTAAATAAATCTGTCCATTCCCATCTGTTGGCTATGGCAGATGGAAGTTTCTCTTTTGTAAGAACTGGGGCGCTTTCCATTCCGGCAAAATTTCCGGTTGGAAATTCCGGAAATATTCCAGGTCAAATGGAAAGGCTTCCCCCCCCCTGAGAGCCTCGTTTACAATATCACTGCTCTCGTGAAGTAAAAATCCAACAAAATGGATGTCTGTAGCCAGGGGCGGATCTAGGGGGAGGGTGCAGGGGGTGCGCACCCCCCCTTCCCGAGATGACCTGCGGTTTTCTAATACAACTGGTATTCCGCAAAAAAAAAACTATGTGGTTTATTGGTGTTGAAGTAAAGCAAGAGACGAGTGCACCCCCTCCTAAAAAAAATCCTGGATCCGCCCCTGGTAGCATTGCGGTACTTTTGGACAATTTCGACGAATTTCTTGCTTTTGTTTTTGCCAGCAAGAGACAAGTTAAAATCCTTCCAGCGTTCTAACATCGGACGTGCAGATTTCATTTTGAACGATAAGATAAGTGAAAAGAGAAAAATGCGATTTCCCGTGAACAACGCTTACTGATTGGAAATGGCGGGAAAAAATTACAGGTGCCGGCCGCTGGCTGAAACTGAATTGCGCAAATTTCGGGAATTTTTGTTCCAACCCGTTAGAACGGAAAAGTTGGAATACCTAGCTCCGCCCGAAGTTCGTCCGTTTGTTCTGGAAACATTCCTATGGAACCGCGCGTTTAATTAGCATTTAAACCGGTCAAACTGGAAATTTTGCCTAAATGGGAAGCGCCCGTCCATCATCGGTATTACCGGGCGCTCCCCTGATTTTGGTCCCCAAAACAGCAGTTGGGAAAACAGTACCATTTTTATCTCACTTATTACATCAATTGACACAGTTTAAGGATTTTAGTCTTTTGGTTTGTTCCCGGAGCCTCGGGAAACATTACGATTGAAACATCAAGATTCGATTCCCTTTTTTAGCATGATGTTAGGCTATTTTGTGACATAGGAACGTAGTAATCGTGTGACGCTGAGGCCACTGTCGTTTGATTCACGTTGTTTTCAGCCCTTGGTTGATGATAATTAGCAGATGAGGATGAGCCCTTTGGTTTGACAAAAGGGTCATCTATTTTTCTAATCGTCATCGGTTCGTAATATTTTGGTGAATCGGGAGAGGTGTTTGCGTTATCCATTTCTGAGCTCATAGGCTCATAATACTTGGGTGAATCAGGCTTAATGGCACCTGCCATCGGTTCATAGTTTTGGTCTGAATATTGACTGTGAAATTTGTCTCCATCATTCTGGTTTAATCCACCTTCCATTGGCTCATAATATTGTTTCCCACATTTTAATGATGTCCCATTCGATGCATTCTTTACCTGAGGTGATTTTGTATCGCTCACTAGCTCAAGATATTCTGGGATAGGCTTTGCATAAGCAGGCTGACCATAAATCTGGGGAGTATCCATCGTTCGGAAATCCAGTTTCTCGTATAATTCACTATCGTTGTCATCTCTTTGTGGGTCAATCGGCTCGTAACAAGCGACTCCTATCGTTGATGGATCAAGGGTTTGGTACTGAGGAAGTGGCAGAGGCCTAGACCGTCTTTGTGCTCCGTTTTCTCCAAGAAGCCCTGAGGGCGTATGAATGGTTGATACACTGCCGTTGAGTTCGTTTGATGTATCGTTGTATGAAGATGTCTGCATCCTGACTCTTTCCCTTTCTGTAACACAAGAAGACAATTACTGAGGGATTTTATTAAATGTATATTAGTCTGGGAGTTCAAAACTGCGTAAATGGAAGGACGTTTATATCTAAAACGTTCTCAGATAATGGAATTATCAGTCCAAATGTTCTGTCACTATGTTTTCAGTGAAAGTTCGCTTACTGAGAGTTAATGACTTGTACTTCATGCAATAACTGTAGTGCTGTTTTAACGATTAGTCATTTTCTATAAATTTCAAGTCATATATCATTGTAATATGAAGTTTTAAAAGCAATATTTAAACCATTTTTATTTTCTTTCCTCATTTTGATGTCACCTGTGACATATTATTAAACAGGAGCACGCACCGCCACTTGGATGCCAGTATTCGTTTCGGAAAATGAATGGAAATGAAAGACCTGCCTCGTAGGGCTTAACCGGTCGCAGTAGCCTTTGGACAAAACGGACAAAAACATTTTAGATATTCCCCGCGGGTGTCTAAACTATAATTGATTTTGAGTAACGGCCAATCACACCTCGCTAAACATTTTTTACATTGTATATACTCTTTTAGATGCAAGTTAATGCTAAGTCATGATTGAAATAAAAACTAACCTCCTTCCCCTCTTGCCTTCTTTCTCTTGTAGCAGATCAGAATGACAACTAGGAAGGCCATCAACGCTACACCAAAGACTGCACAAAGAATCACCCACAGTCTGAGTCCGGAACTCTCCGTTCTAGAGCCTGTGACCAGAACTGTGGCAATGAAAATGAATATTAATTACTGAACCATGAATGTGCTACCCTACCAGCTGCGGATTGTGTGATCCTGCTTAGACCTACCTTGAACATTAACCCAGGTGGAAGTTACATTCATTCCCAGGCTGTTTTCAGCTACACACTGATAAATTGCATCATGCCAGGTTTCTATGTTTGTGAGCTCAAGAACGTTGCCTTTTACTCTTAATTTTGAGCTGCAAAAATAAACAATGAAAAATATTGAAGCTTAAATCACAGAAGAGAGGCCGAGAGCAGTATATAACAACAGGTCAGCTCTTATCAAGAACCACTTGATCGCGCCCGACTACCGATACTAGGCTGATTTACCAACAGAACGGGAACGTCATTTGACGACGGGAAAGCGCGCGAAAAGGACTAAACTCGACTTCCGGTGCGCAATTTGCGGCTCTGCCATTGGTCAAGCAAGTTGTTTAATTTGCCCGCGCAGTCGTCAACTGACATTCCCATTCTGTAGCTAAATCAGCCTACTATATAACGTACAGACATTTGCAGGACGTAGGCTCTATGATGTATAGCATGGTCTTGTGCCTATTTACAACTCTAAATCATTCAGTGCAAAGAACACGCGGTAGGAACCATGATTTGGAACTACCTAAATTCGGAACTGTGCTATATGGGAGACACTCTCTAAAAGACTTAGACTGAGATACTTCGTGATCTGACTGAAAAAAGTAATTATGTATGTAATAGGTTTAATTGGTAATTTTAGTGATAAAAAGACTTCAAGGCCCCATTAGCTGTCGAGCTAAATACTTTGACACGTGATAAAGTTTTTATTCATTCATTCATTCATTCATTCATTCATTCATTCATTCACTCACTCACTCACTCACTCACTCACTCACTCACTCATTCATTCATTCATTCATTCATTCATTCATCAAGCGATATAAAAGGAATGAGAGAGGGGGGTTGTGAGGAGGAGGGAGAAATTGTAAGCTGTATAAGAACTAGGAGAAATGCATACTGGAACATGGACTAAAAAAAAAGGCCAGCATAGACAGGATAGTATAACCTAATGCAGTCCTTTGGGAGACGAAGAGACTTGAAATTGGGAATTGCACTTAGTTAATGTAAATGATGCATGGATTGTCTCAATTTAAAGTTGAATATTATACATAAATACAGAGCAGGTCGTACTTGAAATTGAACAAAGCATTTTTATTGTCGGGGTGATGTTGATATAATCCTGTAAAAGCCGTTAAGTCAAAAAAGAACAAGCCAATATATTTTAGCCTACGTGTAGCCGGGATCGTGTGCGGCTACAAGTAGGCTAATATATTGCAGCCTTACTCTGACACATTTATCTTTTGTCCATTCCTGAACCAGTGGTACTGCGGGTTAGGTTTTGCTTTGGCCACGCACGTCAAAACTTTTGACTTTGTTGTCTCTACCAACGTCTTTGAAGGGAGCGGTTTTTCCCACTTTGGTGAAGCTGAAAAAATTACGTATAACGAAAATTAGATTAGTGTTTTTATAACTGATGACTTTAAATAAAAGCCAGTTATATTTTGTTTAAAACACAAAATATTATTTCGCGTTTGAACTTATGAATTCAATGAAAAGCGTCCCTTAAGTTTTTTGAAAGGCTTCAAAACATGTAATTAATGTATTTTAATGTGTTTTCCCTGAGGCTGATTTCAATTCTCCCCTGACTTTTTAGGCAGATGAGTATCAATGCATTTTTGTAAACAGGACTAGAGTCTAAACTAAAGTACTTTACAAACAAACCTGTGAGCAACAAACCCATTATTATTTTACACACTCACGACGTAAGCATAAAAGCGAGGCTCAAAGTCCGACCAGATTTGCCGCAAACTTCAAAAAGGGTAAATAGGGCGCCGAAAACAAGAACGATCTGGTGATCTAGAGATTAAACATGAACCCCAACAGATATTCCCACTGAAGCAGTTATAGTGAATGAACGTGCGTTGNTCAAAAAAGAACAAGCCAATATATTTTAGCCTACGTGTAGCCGGGATCGTGTGCGGCTACAAGTAGGCTAATATATTGCAGCCTTACTCTGACACATTTATCTTTTGTCCATTCCTGAACCAGTGGTACTGCGGGTTAGGTTTTGCTTTGGCCACGCACGTCAAAACTTTTGACTTTGTTGTCTCTACCAACGTCTTTGAAGGGAGCGGTTTTTCCCACTTTGGTGAAGCTGAAAAAATTACGTATAACGAAAATTAGATTAGTGTTTTTATAACTGATGACTTTAAATAAAAGCCAGTTATATTTTGTTTAAAACACAAAATATTATTTCGCGTTTGAACTTATGAATTCAATGAAAAGCGTCCCTTAAGTTTTTTGAAAGGCTTCAAAACATGTAATTAATGTATTTTAATGTGTTTTCCCTGAGGCTGATTTCAATTCTCCCCTGACTTTTTAGGCAGATGAGTATCAATGCATTTTTGTAAACAGGACTAGAGTCTAAACTAAAGTACTTTACAAACAAACCTGTGAGCAACAAACCCATTATTATTTTACACACTCACGACGTAAGCATAAAAGCGAGGCTCAAAGTCCGACCAGATTTGCCGCAAACTTCAAAAAGGGTAAATAGGGCGCCGAAAACAAGAACGATCTGGTGATCTAGAGATTAAACATGAACCCCAACAGATATTCCCACTGAAGCAGTTATAGTGAATGAACGTGCGTTGGCAAGTGGACAGTGGAGAAACAAACCTTCCGCAAAGATCCTTCGGAAATACATGAAAGGTCAAGCCTTTCTTACTATCGGAAACATTTCAAAGCGCAGGAGCGCAGCATTTGTGAGAACTATTTTTTTGTAGTTGTAGGGTGTGTTTCTGCCTCTTTGTACAATTTAATTGCGATGTGGCTCTTAGACGACGCTTTCATGCTTACGACGTCGTAAGTACGTGTGCTTTGTATTTATTATTATTAAAAACTGAATAATTGGATCATGCAATTCTAGAGCTCTGATTGGCTTAGCCATCAGTGTATATGAGCCATTTTACCATGCTCTCCAAATATGGTAACTGTACGCGTTTGCTCAAAAATCGGCTGTTTTTACAAATAAATTCGGGAAGAATTCTCGATATTTTGTGGGCGTTTTTAATAAAGCAATTATTCTACTCGCGCTTGTTGGATATGAGATGGCGTGGCGCCTCGTTGGCTAGCAGGGCGGATAAAGGTTGGGCGGTGAAACGAGCGCTCCGCTCTTCATTTAATGTGTGATGCGGAGTAGGACTGGCACGAGCGCTCTTTCCGCGCTTCCGGTGCGCTTGAAGGCCGGCGAAATTTTCCTTTTTGCAAACCGGAAATCCTATTTTCTTTCTGTAATTTCAGGCTACAATGTTAAATAGATAAATTCGTTTCATAACAATATCAATAAACAGTTTCATATGTTTGTGTCTGTACGTCTATAAGTCAAACTTGTTGGTCGTATAATGCCAAAATTTGAGTTTAATTTGAAAGTGTTGAATACCTTTTCCTTCCACTAAATATCACCTAGTCGTCTTTCGCCGTTTCGTTTGCAAAAGCTTAACACTTCTTAACCTCAATTTTTACATATGTTAAAGGGGGATAAATTTTATATTACATAACAAAAAATTAGATTGATATATATTGATATAGTGGCGTTGTACTTCTTCAAACTTTGCTTCTCGGGTGCAACGCGCCATGGCGATTCGCGCAATGCGTTGCAAATCCGGCAACCGCCTGTAAACAAAATTTATTGAGGTTAGTTGTAAGGTTTTATCTCCGTTTTTCTCTCTAAAACAAAACAAGGTAAACAGTAAAAACTGAGGGGAAACTAATTTTGAAGTTTCGAAGAAACAGAAAGACGTATGAGATGTTTTTTTCAAAATTAGAAAGAAGGAAGATGGTGATTGAAATTAGCATAATTTCACCTTGCACGAGCTGCACGCATTTATAAAATACACGTCATCTAGTTATGAAACACGATCTACTGTCTTTTAGTTTTGCCATGGATGACGTGGATGAGATTTTCCTTCGTGTTTTAGACAGTACTTAGTTGTTTTTGTTTTGGAATAACATCGACATTGGCGAGTAGCAGAACCAAATTATAATTCAGTCAGTAGAGTCATGAAAGGAATAAAAGAAACCTTTTGAAAGAGATGTTTGTCTACTCCAACTAACCTCCCACAAAAAATGGCAACATTTGCCTCTCGGAGACAGCATACCAGCACAAACGAACGAGGAAGAAGTGCAAGAAAACAAATCAAGGAGCCATAATTCAGTGCCAGCGGCAGTGTCTAACGTACAAATGACATCGCAAGCCCTGACCGAAGTCGAAAACAAGCGACATTTCTAAGCAGAGTCCCAGGGCGCGATCCATTCAACCAAAATTTCCGGAAATTTCGGTCCAAAACTCAATGGATCGGTTCGGTCCAACCGGAAAAGTTTCGAAAAAACGGGTCCACCTTTTGAGGTGGTCCTCTTTTCCCGGTCGGACCGGTCTGAATTTTGGTTGAATGGATCGCGCCCTGAGTTTTGGACCAAAATTTCCGGAAATTTTGGTTGAATGGATCGCGCCCCCAGTCCACTGCATCACACCTTTTTGCTCGGACGCGCTCGTTTCACCGCCCAACCTTTATCCGCCCTGTTGGCTAGCGACTATCTCATACCCAACGTGCACTCGTGCGTGGAATAATTGTTAATTGGGGAGCAAGGGTGGCGCAGTGGTGAGAGCACTCGCCTCCCACCAATGTGGCCCGGGTTCAAATCCCGGCGTCGACGCCATATTTGGGTTGAGTTTGTTGTTGGTTCTCTCCCTTGCTCATGATCCGAGAGGTTTTTCTCCGGGTACTCCGGTTTTCCCCTCTCCTCAAAAACCAACATTTCCAAATTCCAATTCGACCAGGAATCAGGTAGACGAAGAACCACTATGTGGATGTGCTATCTGCAAATCGTTATTTATTTATTTATCTATTTATTTATTTATTTATTATTGTTACGATTATTATGATTATGACCTGGATTACAATTATCATTATTTTTTTCTTATCATTATGCAGTATTTATTCTGATGCTGAGGAAAAGTTCTACACGGGCCAAAAAAGGGCGAAATCTGTGCACCCTCAATGGCAGTGAGATCAGGTTTACCAGCTTCAGAGTTGAAATTTAAAATACTTAGGCGCATAAACTTTTTAATTCTAACACTGTTTTCATCTCAAAACCTGAAATTCAGTTAAGTCTTTTCATAAAATCTTTTGATTATAAAAAAGGCAGCAAACAAACCTTGCACGGTCAAAAAGGTTGCCGTGGACGCGTGATTGAAACTACCGTCAGTAGATGAAGCAGTACATGTGTATGTTCCCTGATGCTCTTCCTCTACCTGGGGAATTATCAAAAGCCTACCGAAATGTTCTGAGGGCAAAAGAAAGTCTTCCTGACCATCTTTAATCTCTTCACCGTCTTTTGTCCATGTTATCATTGGTGGAGGTCTGTGACACGGGAAAAAAATCAACAAACACAACTTTCAGAAAATCGCGAGATGTCTTCAGAGATATGTGACGTTAGTTTTAATGAATTTAAAGAGCAGTATATCGATCGTAATCTTACTTTGCTTCAGCAAGACAGTACAGCATCTTTTCAGAACCTTCGATAGCTTGCTCTTTTAGGTCTGGTGAGGAGTATATTTTCGGTCCTCGGTTTCCTATGAACGCTACAAAAGTGAAAAAAAGAAAAAACAAACAAAAAAAAATAGGGAAAATAAAATTAAAAATGAGAAAAATATGATGAAATAAAAGGAAGATTTAAAGAGCTGAGAGATCAAAAACAGTTTAATCATGCAAAAAACGGCGAATGTGCAGCAGGTAGTGAGCGGGCACAGGAGATTGGGTGTGGTGGACGGCGAAAGAAAAAGTTCGACCTCCTTTTCCTTGTACTTCTTGCTTATGCTTCTGTTTCTCCATGACTTCCGGTGTAGGATACAAAATTACAGATATCTATATATAATTATTATTCCTATTTTAAAATTACTTGAAGACCAGAAAAAAGAAAACATCAAATTTTACGAAAAACAAATGTTCGGTGACACTTTACTATGTTATGTGTGTGTGAGCACAAGGTAATTCCCCCTACCTAGACCGTGTAACTGGAAATTGACGGCATGTGAGTAAGTCTTATTTTCAACAGTGGCCATCTCACAGACAATTCCCTTTGTCTTTCTAACTTTCTCCACGTCCTGTAATGTTACAAACATGATCACCAAGGTTCCTTCAAGCGTCACCGCAATGCGCTCGTCCTCAGATAAGGTATTGAATACTTCGGGGTTTGAGGGATCGATACCACCCCATCGATATGTCACGCCAAAACTGTGTTTGTGTCGTGGACAAGGGACTTCAACGGGTTTTCCAAGAGTGACGGGAGCAACTTTATGGTCTTCGAAATAAAATCCCCCTAGAACTGAAACAACACGATGCGTGGCTTAGATTAGAAGAACAGCCTAGAAATTCGTCAAAAAGAAGACTTGTCAGTGATGCAGATAAATAGTTAAATGTTCCCATTAAAATGTGGTACAAACTGTTGAAACTTTTTAGTCTAGTCTTTGTTGCTAAATTAACGTTATATGCACGGCAGCATGGAAAAGTAGTAAAATTTGCAAGGCATTAAAACGGTTATAGTAATAACGATAATGATAATTATAACGATGATGACAACAATGTTGACGATGTTGATGTAGATGATGATGCCAATGATATTGATAATAATGATAATAATTGATAATAATAATAAGCAATACTGAAAACGGACGAAAGGAGAAGGATTTGCGGAGTGGCCATATCCTCGGGAGCGTTCTTATTCATGGTTCATCTATATGTATACGAAGTATAGGGGCATTTCTTCCAAAGTGGTGTTTATTCTATTGTATTTTTAGGACAAGGTATAACAACTTGTCCCTGACGAATGAGACACTGAGGACATCAGGTATAATTGAGCAATTAGTACCTGTCACGTTGACCTCCAGTTTTCTGCTGAAATCCGTGCCATAATCATTTTTTACAAAGCACTGGTATTTCCCGCTGTTTCTCTGATTAAGGGCTTGTCCCACAAGTGTGCCCGAGGGCAAAAGGCGATAAACCCCTCCGTATTTAATATTGGCTCCATTCAGCTGCCATCTGTAGTGTAAAGGTCTTGTACCAGATGCCTCGCAAGGAAGCTTGAACCCACTCTTTGACGTCACATCTCCAGGCTGGTTTAAGTCATCAGCTAAAAACTTGGTTATAACAGGTGGTTTACCTATAAACGCATTTATACATTAATCCGGTATATAATTATTCCAACAAATGCCGTGTTGGTTATTCGAATAAGCAGTAGATAAGAGAAGTATTCAAGAACATACAATTTTTTAGTGTAGTTTAACTTTGAAATAACTGGTTTGAATGGTCGCTTAACTGACCTCATGTTCATTAGCGCGGCAAAATTGCGACGCTTTAGTTAAAGAGTTAAATGGTTGTCTTACTATAGACATATACTCAAAATAATAGGTCTACAGTACATGATGAACCATACATTTATCAAATGACTTTGACTCACCAGAGAATGTGTTGTGGATCCCGTGTGCCAGAAACACCCAAGCCATGAACGAAGGAAACATCGTTTTCATCTGAAAACATATAATCAGGTTAATTTGGAAGACAACCAAAGTCAAGAAACAAATATTCAAAGAGAGATTAAGTGCTCAGCATTTATGTTTAAAGTTGCCAGGCTTGTCTTCAACGTTTTTAGCAAAAGCAACATGCCCCGATAATGTGAAGTAAAAGTTTATTGGTGTTGAGATAGTGCGGGGAAGGGGGCGGGGGGATGAAGCGAAGAAGAAAACGGAGAAAACTAGGAAGAAACTGCGGGGTTTGCTGCTCCTTCCCTCTGAACGCCTAGAACAAGCTATTTGAATCGTTGACTTCAACATAAAATAACATCGAAAAGATTTCATTCAGTTTATTATAACTGATTCACATTTTATTTTGTCTCGCACAGTATTTTTGTCACTGCACAGTATGTTTTGAACTACCGCGTAAATCCTCTACTAGGCCCCCCCTTTCTAATAAGCCCTCCTTTTTCCAGGGCAGAAGGTTAATAAGCCCCCACTTTAAGTTCTCCCTTCCGCTTATTATTGTTTACTAATAAATGATAGACTGTATTAATCAGAAACGACTGTTATGTAAAACTTGATCCAGGATGCTTTATCCTCCAGCTGGAAGTACACTTGTTTTTTTTAATTTGATCCTCGGCTGCATGACCTCCAGCCGTTGTACATAATTAAGCTTTTCTGCTTTATATATATTTTTTCTTTTGAGGAGAACTTGTACCATCATCTTTGCTAAGTTAAACAAGCCCCCCCCCCGTCTCTATAAAGCCCTCCCCGTGGGGGGGGGGGGGGGGGAAAGGGGGCAAATCTTTGGGGAAGACCGGCCCCCGCGCTCGGGCGCCGAAGCCACACGGTAACTCCGGTTAAAAGTTTATAGCGCTACGGGGTAAAAAGCCCCCCCCGGGGGGGGGGGGGGGGGGAATAAGGGATCAGTACTGTGGTAAGACCAGGCCTCCGACTTGGCGTCCGAAGTACAACTGATATCTCGTGTTAAAGTTATTAAGCGACAGTGCGGCAGTGAGACTAGTAGCAAAGGGTGGCTTGTTGATGGCCAGCAGAGGTCTCACAGAGTCGATAATATTAAGTCACTTCAAAAAAATTGCGCTGCAGTCTCAAATTTTTAGTATTATTTTGGGAAATATTCTTTTTTTGACAAGGACATATAAAAGCAATTGCTTGTTTTTGTTTTTGTTTTGTTTTTTGGGGAAATGATTTTATTACCGGTGTACGGTTTTATAGGGCACGTGACAGAAAACTTTCCAATTCTGCCCTTGACTCAATAGATGGATCACACAGGTTATATTTAAAGAGACACTCAGTATGTTCAAACTACCAGGTTTGACATAACACCGTATACCATTTAGGAAATAACTGAATTATTTTGCGATGGCCGATATCAAGAACCTCCTTGATAGCCTTACGGTATTCGTAAATGCAGCCTTTTCAGGGCTCATCACAGAGCAATCAAAATAATTTTTTCCAAATTGCAGCATTTCTAAATGAAATCAAATGACAATCACTAAGTTGCATTAGCTAATGGTTTTTGCGGAGTGTTCATTTATCATTAACCCAAAACACTTAACTTAGATCTCATCTAACGCCCTCTTCAATCAAACTACTAATAATAAAGACTTCATTAATGTGTCAAAAGCCTAGTTTACACGGTGTAAACTAATTGATGACACCTACAATATCTAAAGAATTCGGATTTTGAACGGTTCGTTTTGCTGGAAAATTAGCGCTGTACGGTAGCGATTACATTGATGCAAAAGCCAAGTACATAGTATAATACATTGCAATCATTTACGTCATTATTCTGGAATGGAGAGTTTGATAACTTTCACCGACTGAATGAGTTAGCTTAATATATGATAAGCTAGAAAACGAGCTCTTAAACTGAAAAATACTTACGTCCAATTCAGCGAAAATGAAGGATTGCTATGGTCTGGTGGTAGTCTAATAATCTGCCAACCGCACAACAGTGACTGAGTACTACTGCTTTAACGCGGAAGATTTCCAACAAACTGCTGTCAGAAAAATTAGCAATATCATACTTTTAATAGCAATCGTGAAGTGGTATTTTAACAACTTCTCAAATGCCAATTTTTTACAGACTGCAGTGTCATTCAACTTTACGTTTGACGCGTGTAGTTACAAGAATAGCATGAAGGAGTACGTGACAAGGTAGAAGACCATTAGAAAAGTGATGGGGGTGGGTGGTTAAAATTCCATAAACGAAATTTTCCTCAGGAAATCATTAATAAAAAATATATTCCCACGGATTCTGGCCAAAAAAATGTATGCCCAAGGATGAAAAAAAAATTGTTGCATCTCTTAAAATCCCCACTCCCCCACTCCCCGCCCCATCACTTTCCCTAACGGTCCATCCGTTAGATGGCCGAGGTAGGCCATTGTCTAATTATTTTCATCTTTCGTTACGTTTAATTTAACACATTTCCCTGTCCCCGTTTTCTGTACCCTGGAAGCCAGAGGCTTTTCCAGGGTACCATTTCTAATACTCTATTGTTTTTAATAATTCATAATTAAATGTTTGTTTTCATCTTCAATGAAGATAGAGAATCGATAACTGTGGGAAAAAAATTGGATGTTAAACCATTGAGACTTTTTCCGTCTTTAAACTATTTTGCAGACGCAGACTCCTAACTAAACGATGGAATGGTGTGCTTGTTGCCCTGGCGTTTGCCGAGTGTTGTCATAAAGGAACGGAATGTAATGCGCGTAAAAGCCAGCTACAGCGAGCTCAGTCTTATTAAAGCTTTTTTTTCCCGCGTAAATTGAATGTGATCGACTCTTTTAGTACATGACTACTTAAGACTGTTAAGAGTACGATCGGAGTACTGATCGGAGTATAAAAATCAAAACTTAGCTTGGCAGGATAGTTCTAATGGTTACTGTACTCAGCAACGCCCAATAATTATTCTCAAGTCGAACGCATTTATCAAAATACAGCCGTTATAAATGTGAAAAGCGATTTGTTTTGTTCACGTTCTTCAGCTTTAACTGAAAGGAAAAGTTCATTACATTTAAACCTGGTATAGTTTATGTCTACTCTTGGTTTTCACACGACGTATATGCCCGAGGGCACACATCGTCGGTTCGATCAAGTCGACAGTTTACTAGCTTTGAAAATCGGGCATCGCTTCTCAAACGTATTGAATTAAAGCAAATCATAAATGATAAAAAGATACCTTTAACTTCGTACCGGCGAAGAAAACAAAGATAAATACTCACCGGTCCTCCTCGCTTGAACTCGAAGGAAGTTTCTACGTTTGCCTTTGTAAAACAATCAATTTAAGTTACTTCACCGCTTTCAACGAGGTTCAAATATTGATGTCATGTATGCGAACGGGACAATAAAAGAAATTGCATGAATATCAACATTGAGTTTTAATTTTGTGGTGAGGAATACAATGGAATTAGCATAACAAAACAACTTTGTGATGAGAAAAAAGTTAGTCCATTTACGGCAATATTTACGTCTCACCGGAAAGAGTTTACGCCTCCTTCCAACACGAACCCGACACTTTTGAAAACGCAAATGTTGTTGCCCGGATTCGTATAAACGGGGTCGACCTAAACTGCTCTGGAGAGCGGTTTTTAGAAGTATGGGGTTTCCGTTAGCGGACGGAACATCGCCTCGTGAAAAAAAAAAGGTAGAAAGAGAGAAAGAAAGAAAAAAGAAAAAGAAAACACAAGGATTCGTGATGACGAGGCCTAACAGACCCACTTATATCCCAAGAAGATTTTCTTGACAAGTGTTCCTTGAAAATTGACAAAAATTATTCAGTTGACAGTCCTTAAAATGTTCTGCCCTCGAAACCTGTTTCAAAGCTGGAATTTAACGTTATTATTAACAATTTTTATTCAACAATTATTCGCAAAAATTATGTAATAAATGTCTCAAACTTGCCTTAAATGTATATTTTTTACAGTGGATAAAACTGAAAACTTGAATCATGCTTCTGAGCCTGCTGCCGTATTCGTGGCAGGCGACGAAAGAGGAGGAGGGGTAGGGAGGAAAAAATAAAAGCCCTTTCCGCCTTTCTTTCCCCTCCCCTGTCCCCCTAAGAGGCGTCCTGGTGAAGAACCAGGCGCGAACATCTACTTGATGACGGTGGGCTCAGTGTCAAAGAAATAAAATTTGGGAGAATTATATTTCTTCTTCGATTTATTAAAATAAAGCTTCTAAAAAACTATTTTACAAGTCTACCTATATATTAAATACATATAGCTCACAACTAACAAATTTTCTTTTTATAATAAGCCAATCCCTATACCCTATGTACCTTGTTTGTATAGCAAAGAGGTGTGTTTGTTTTTGTTTTTGTCGTTTCCTTGATATCTCTATTGGTATGTTGATACTGGCAAGTGAATGCTGACTTGTCGAAAGTCTCTACGAAAGGGCCATCGTAACAGTACCTTATCAGTGTATTATAGCCTGATGAGACTTCCCATTATTGTGTTAAAAGGTAAACTAGAGAAAACTAGATCTGTTTTCCACATTACCAGCTGTTTTTCTAATTATATCTTTAAACTCTTTCCAGAGTTTTATGGATTAAATGGCTAGTACCCAAAATTTATTGCACCTACAGACAGAACTAAGAACCAATCTTATATTAATCTAATCAAGATGTGATGATGATGATGACGATGACGATGACGATGTTAATGATAAGATGATTAACATAAGTAGGTTATTTTGCATACACTTTCTAGTCTGCGTCTCTTACTTTACGGCGTATTACATTTTAAGGTCGGCCGTACTGTCAATGACTAATTGGTTGGCACTGAGGGCACGTGCATACATTCTCAGCCGCAAGGCTTGGGGGTTGCTGACTGTGCTCCTGTGACTGCTGACTGGTCTCCTGAATAGGGTATCTTACGTCACTATTGGGCAGAGCAGCTTGCCTCTGTCTGGTGCACCTATCGCTTGCCCCCGATGAACCTGTAGCTGTGGTTTGGCACATAGTATATGTGCATGGCAATTGCTCGGTGGAGCTACGAGACTGTGGGAGCTCTTCATACAAGGCGTTGGTCTCCTCATTAGGGTTACCCACTCCTCTGGCCAGCACAAAACGTTCAGGTCTATCAAGTGCTGTATTTAAAATTCCTTGGGTAGAAGACGCCTGATTCCCAAATGGCAGACCATGTAGAATGTTATCCACTGAACGACCTCTTGCAGGGATGGGACTATCTACGTCTTCAGATGGTTGACTTCCCACAGCCTGGATCGCAATACGAATGGTTAAGAATAAATTGAACTTTTTTTTCAAAATTCTACCAGCTTGAGAGAAAAGATGATTTAAACTAAAATTCTCTCTTAGGAATTTTCTATCCGTAATCTAAATATCACCCTTAATTAATTTTGTTAGTATTCCAGAGATTCATCGGTGTTACCAAATAAGGGCATGGGAAGAGGAAATCATCCTAAAACTCCTAAAGAGACCTTGCAGATAAAATTGAATACAGTTTTATTTAACTAGTGTGTAAGGAATGGTATCATGTTCTTTCGGATGACTATCAGTGACTAAAAAGACAGATGAATTCTAGGTAATCAGGGGCGTAGCCAGCATTTTTCCAAAGGTGCGCACCTTTCCAATACGTGTACATTGAATTCCCAAATTACTTTATTATTTTGATAAAGTTGTTCTCGTTATCTACGCGTGTCAAAGAGAAATTACTAGACCTTCCTTCCGTCTTTTTATAAGCGTAGCCTAAACTCGACGCCTTGAGTTAAAAAAGAAGAAGAAGAAGAAGCTGAGAAGAAGAAACAAACGAATCAACCTACACTTTGTTCTATCAAGGGCTCCCTGATGGCTAACCTCCGCTGCACGTCCAAATCTCCATTTGCTCTGAAAACAAACAGAAAAAGGTATACATTTAAGGAACTCTACCTGACAGAACGTATCACAGATGATAATCGGAAAGTTTTCGCTGTGTTTTTAAGAGGAGGCGAGCTGGCCTGCTTGCCGCGTTCTGTCGAGCTACTGACCAGCTCGCCCTCACACAACAACAACAACAACAACAACAACAACAACAAAAAACGTGAAGAGGAAACAAGGCATGAGCCTAGCCAGTCCGGAAAAGCAACCAATACCAGTAGTGCTCCGGGCTAGCTCACCTCATATAAACGGGCTTGGAGTTCTCAGTTGCCTAGCAAAAAAAACAAATTCCGACCGGTGAATAGTGCGACCCGCCTTAGCCTTATTCGGTATTACTTCTGTAACAACAAACTGATTGTCTCAAAGTTATTTTTGGTATATTCACTGATCATGCCCGAAGAAAGGAAGTCCGCAGTCGGATACAATGTGAATATACTTTTATCTCTATTTTGCTATTAATATTTTGAAGTTTAAGGCGTTTCAATTTCCTCTCTTAAATATACTTCTACGTCGAAATTCGTCACCAAAAAGATCCCTGAACTTACTGAGAAGTTTCACTCGAAATCCAACTCGAACTCGAACTCGAATCCAAACTTGAACATACCCTACCCTCCAAAAACGCAAAATAAACACTCGAGGCAATATTAATATTGTAATGCAAATTGATCTCATAAGCGGATTACATAAATAAATGAGTTAACATACTGATCGTCAATAGAAACGACGTTAAATTTTTTTCTTGTCTTTTTTTCCCCCAATTCTTCTGTTTGTCACCCCAACGGCAGATAAAAACTTTTAAATCATGACAAAAACTTCTGAATGACTTCTGAATGCTAAGGTATATAAGCTGCTCACTTCGGTAAAGCCTGGCAGCGAATTTTGATTTCCCCAAGATTATCATCAGAGATTAAAAGTTCGCTTTTGATGTTGGTTTAAGGGAATTTTTATGGTGGTAATGATCCGAAGGGTTGAAACCAAAAGACTTATTTGGAGGGTATGGATCTTTATGTGAACAACACAGTGACTATCCCAAAAAGAAGCAATTTATTGTTCCAGTTCTGTACATGTCTGATTACATGTCAAAAGATTAACAGTAGTTTGAACAAATTGTTGTTACTTTAAATAAACAAAAGACTTCTTTGTTCTTTGTTTGTTGATTTCTCGTTACCTCAATGACTCTTGATGGTGTTTCTTATTACAATAAGTTATTGATTTGGTTGAATACTTCAACCCTCTCTAAAGATGTTAAATTGTCTGTAACTGGTAGGAGATGCATTTCCTCCTCAGTGAATGGGCAGTTTGTGTCCGGAACTTCAACATAATCAGGGCATTGTTCTGGAATGAGACCTTGCCAGTCAATCCCATGGTTGCTATAATCGCCCTAAAAAGAAAATGATTATTGTAAGCAGTTTGTTACATACGTGCTGCATTAATCCTCAATGTCATACAATGCTGGGCTGAGGATAGAGATTGATCATCATAATTATTAGTTACATGTATTATTACATTTGACACAAGTATAATGTTGATTAAATGAAACCAGATATGTCTCATACCTGGAACACTTCACCCTCAGGGCCATGAAATCCCCATGCCTCTTGCCATCCACTAATCCATAACTGCATGGGCATTTTGTTTCTTTCTGTACGTAATGGATAGTGAACCCATGCATCTTTCCAATTACTCAGATGTCTGTTGATGATAGGCAGGAACACGTAATGTAGGCACCAGAGGTGACAATCATCATCTGCATTTAACACAACCTTGTTTTTCCAGGGTATAGAAGAGTTCATGGAAGAGGCAAAGGCATCCATCATCTAAGTCTCTCCAAAGTCGTTCAATCCTTTGATTGTGTGTGCTCTTTCCTGGTGATTGCAAAGAATAAAATTCTATAGACTAAAAATATTATTTTATTTCATTAACTGTAAAACATTATATAACAATCGGTGTTGAATACCTACAGTGTAAATGCAAACAGAAGAATAAAAGACATAATTTATGAGTAATAGTTTGTGCCAGTCCCTCTTCTCTTTTGGGATACATAATATTTAAATCACTTACAGGGAGTAATACAATCAATCAGTAAAATATAATTGTTATACATGTAGTGTACCTCACTGATTCCTTCATAAATAGGTGGCTTGGCCCACAGTTGCATGAACATTATGGTTTTTGCTTGAAGTTTTTAAACAAGCCACGTGGACTTGTGGTAAACCTAATGACTAGTGTAAGTTCCATACATGTACATATGTTATTAGCATAGAACAAGAAAACAATTTCACTGCTGACAGTAAGCAACTGAGGCCGGGAGCAGATGAAAGGCATGATGGTCTTACGTTTTGACTTTGGATTGAACGATAAAAGGGAAAAAAATTTTCTGCTCTGTTCAAGGTAACCGGGGGTCAGAGAGGTCATAAAGTCTTTTGTGTTTTTTCTTTTGGTATTCCCGCCCCCCCCCCCCCCAGCTAAAAAAAAAGGAAAGAAATGGAGAAATGAAAGAATTTCTGCAGGTTAATTAAGGTTTAATACTCTCTTGATTCCTTCCAGGCTTAATAGTTTCTTTACCATCTTACTCACAAAAAGTTACAACCTAATATGGGGAAAGCAATCACCAGGCTCATTCTTAATAACAAAGACAAGCATAATTTATGAAAACAGGGGCCCTTAAACTAATTTAATGAAAGTCGTGAGTTATTAACAGTAAAATAATACTATTCATACAGCATGATTTCTCCTTGTCTAGAAATCCTCAAGATTAGTTCATGATCCTATAAGTTAAATAACCTATTTCATTATTATACTTTTTTAAAACCTATTCAGGATCTTGAAGTATACTCTGAATTCAAGATCCCATCTATTACAAACCCAAAAAAGGTCATCTACCTAAGGAAAGATAGATTACGAGTTGTCCCCATTTTTCCTCAGTGATAGTAGAGTGAGTGAAACATCCCACACGAAAAAGGAGGGACGCGGGGAGAGAGAAAATGCGATCCACTACCCCTGAGAAAAAATGGGGACTACTTGTAGTCTAACCAAAGGAATAATGATTCAGTACTCTGTACCTGTTATCATACTTCCCCCGCTGGCACTCGCTGGATGTGAGTAAACATATAGGTTGCTACATTTGCATTCTCCCCTCCTTTCTCAAAGCGGACCCGAGATGGAAGGCCATACTCTGATACAGCTTCACGAAGCATGAAAGAACAGTGCTTGCATGCTTTGTTGTCATTTGAGGCCTTCTAATAGACTGGGATTCGAGAAAAGCCATCAATTCCTCCATGGATAACAATTCTCCATCTGTTAAAAAAAACCCTTAATTGACATACAAGAATGACATTTAACAAGAAATAAAAGCCCCTGTGAGGGCAACCTTGAGCATGTCTGGATTTACCAGCAAGGGGTTAAAAAACGATGAGGAAAGGAAAACAGTTATCCATCATGATCAATGTATAATGTCTTAAATTCTAGTCAAAACACCATTTAAAAAGTCTTGCATTAGCTGGTGTTGTGGCCACAGGTTACATTATGCAGTGTTTGCTTTTAGGAGAAAAGGTGTGTGTGGTTAGTACAGGAGGTGTCCACTGAGCAGAAGTTTGATTGTGTTTAACTTCAACAATACATGACAGTTACTTATAGTCCCAGGCACAAGATCACTGAGGAGAAACTATGACAATGAATACTGTACAACAGGTATATTTATCAGAACCTTATCAGCTTATGGTTCCCATCTATGTGCCATAGTGAGATTGCATATGTACTGTTGTGGTTCAATTTTATCCTGGGTTCAAATTTTATTTTCCTTTGTTTCAAACTCATTATCATATTTTACTATACCCAGGGGTCTGCGAAACGAAAATAAGACCTGATCTCAGGTTACATAAAATGGAGCGCCATATTTACCTTTAAGCTCCCTAGTACTGGTAGTAACATGATGCATTTTCGAAGTAACTTGAGACTTCCGCGTCACAAAAACACACTAAATCGAGTCTTTTCACAGTTATGCCTCAAAACAACATTTCTAAACAACATTACAGAGCTATTCACCCCCAAATGCGAACTAAGAAAGATCTTTTGACGAAATAAACAAGAATTCAAGCGTAACGAGAGGATAAAGATTACATTTCCCGCAATTCAAGGACATATGTTCCGACTTGCTCGTGACATGCGCGGCGTCGTATGTAAAACTTTCATTCTCACTCACCTTTATTGACACGAAGGCGGTCTACTTCACTTTCTTCACTATCCTATATGCCATCCGGATCGCTACCACAATTGTAGACCAGAGGCGAAGCTTCTTCTGAGCTTGTTTCCCTAAAACGAGCACACTCGCTGCCCGAGACCATTACGCTCCCGATCAATTGTGCATAATAAAATGCGGTCTAAATAATTTATTTAACCAATCGCCATGAAACATGGCCAGTGATTGGCTAATTCTATAAAATTCTTCTGTGCCAAGTTTGACGTCAACCTGATGTAACGCAAATTTTATATGGATTTTTTGGTCATTGGGACCAATAAATTTCTGTGCGTGACAAGAATGAGATAATTACTAACAATATCAAGTGATCAAACCAATTTACTCGTTAACCCTACGGCGAGGCTGTTATCTATGCAAATATTTTAGAAAAATGAGAAGATTTCTTAAAAGGATAAAAATTGTCTGAGAAAAAAACTTTGAGAATAACTTAAAATGAAATAAAACAAATTTGTTAAATTGCAAAACTGGCCGGTGGTGTTTTTATGAAGTTAGAGTGATGTTTACTGTGAAGGAAAAGTTTCGCTTTTTTGTTGTTGTTGTTGCTTGAATTCCTTGCAGAAATGTTGATGCTGAAGATGGGGCAAAAGCATATAATTATTAAACTTCTCAGCTGTGTTTTCAGTGATCTGAAACGCATAACAGCCGATATTACCGGACCCTTTTATTCAGTCCTATACATGTATCAGCAGACATCATAGTACGACCGAGTCTGATTCTACGCAAAAGCGATGTGGCAGAATTAATACAGAAACAATTTCTTGGTTACTAGGTAAATGGGTAGGAGGGAGGAAAGGAAGGGCCACTGAGACGCAAACGTTTGTTAGAAGTGAGGACTGGGATTTAGTGCACCAAAACCTCTCGGCCAACTTGCCGCTTCGACACGATGTTCGATGTGTGTAGACGACTTGTTCCAGTTCTGTGCCGTTGCCGTTCATAATGTACAGGATAGCCTTTCATGTTTGTACGAAAAGCTATGAGGTATAGACCAGTAACCTTATTTAACTGGTCTTAACTCATCTTGTAAGCAAGGGGGCGAATATGAAAAAAAATGATAAATAGAAATAAATAAAATACAAAATAAATAATAAGTAATGATAAATTAATTAATCAATTAATTGAATTTAAAAACAAAAAAAACGCGTCCCTGAGCCCAGGGGAATCCTCCGACATCGCTGATTGGTTAAATCGACAGTCAAAACCCGCCACAGTGGGGTGGGTGTTATAGCCGCGCGTGCCCGGTTCGTGGGTCAGGAACGCGTGACGAATCCCTAAGCCTTTGCGTGGGAGGCTGACGGCCGACGCACTTAAGCACGATCATGTACTAATTCTATCATCCCTGCTCTCGCTATTTTGCACTATTTGTTAGTATCTAAATTCGCCGGAAACAGATAAAATATATCATTCACATTGTAAATTAAAAAGCTAGCTCAATGAACAGAATGAGTCGGTAAGATTATTGATTGACTGAAACTTTCGACGAAAATTGTGAAAAGCATGGGCAAAGAAACCGATCCTTGAACTTGAGAAAAAACTCCGTAGAACTGATAAATCATACCTCGTATTTTCCCTCATATAAAGTCTTGTGGTACAGTTCAAGCAGATTGTGTGATTTTCCTCCGTCGGTGTCAGTACAAAGCGACAAATAAAACATTCATTTCTTGCTTCCATAATATAAAGAAAATGCTACAAGAGCAGTGAGCTCAGCGCGTGTGTCGAGTCGTCTGTGGTATGTTAGTAGGAATGGCGATGTTCGGTTGAGGAGCATGTTTTTATATATAAACTTGCATTGTTCTCGATTTGATGACACTTAACCATTTTTTCCGCCAATTGGAGCGCGCGTCTTGATTGGGGGGAATCCCCTAGCCCCTACTGTCATCAGGTAAACAAATGCCGATAGCGGCCCAACTGTGTGCTGAACCGGATGCACTCAAGGAAATTTACCTAACTCTGGAGTGCCAAGCCAAATGTAGCAATATTCAATATTTATAAATGCATTCAATTTAATACCTTTTTTGCTATTTGCTTACTTCTATTCAATTTAATCCTCAATTTTCATTCAATTCAATCCCCAATCATTCAATTTAATAACTGATATTTATTCAATGATCGGCTCCTGATTTCAGGGTCGTAACATGGTATATGGGCTCAGGGCTCAAAGCCAAAAATATGACTGGGATCAGGGCTCCGAGGAAAAGGCTCTGGGCTCAGAAGAATGGGATCAGGGATCACAAGGCTTTTAAGCTCGAATCAGGGATCAGATTTATTACACGGTCTAAAAATCTCTTATCACAATATTTTTCCGCATGATAAGGTTTCTGTCCATAGAATTTTCTGGCCGAGGTACAACACCTATTCTTACGTTATTCTTGCTTCGGCTGGCGGCAGTTCCTGTCATACGAAGTCCTGGTTGTTTGACGCAAACATGGTATCATATTCTTTGATGTTTATTAATTGTTGAGGGCACTGTAATGTGAATCTCAAGTCACTTTTGTCGCTTTGTAACGCAACTCCTCAACGCGCTGTCACCGCCAGAAGGCAGAGAAAGCGATTTATACATAT